CCCCCCCCTCTCTCTCCCTCTCTCTCTCTCTCTCTCTCTCTCTCTCTCTCTCTCTCTCTCTCTCTCTCTCTCTCTCTCTCTCTCTCTCTACCGGGACAGGAGAGGCGGGCGAACCCTGACCCCTCCGCGCGCGAACGCGCACCCGCAGGTCAAGGCGGGGTTTTCGAAACTCCCCCAGAGAGGGCTATGCCCACTGGCGGCTCGGCTGTACTAAAAGCTCCGTAAAAGAGGGCCCTAACGCGTCTGCAGCGGGAAAGGACACACAGCGTAGAACAGACTAACGCAAGTACAACCCCCCTAGGATATAACTCAACTGCACTACAGACTGAGGCTCCGGCCGGTGTAGGGGCAGTCCCCCACTCTAGCAACAACACAGGTATACGGAGTATGCTGAGCCCTAGTTAAGTTTCCCCCGGCCGGGAAGAAAGGGCGAGGCTACGACGGAGCGTACTGACTATTTCTCCCTTGCTGTGAGGGGATTGGGGTTTGTTCCCCCATTCTGGGCAGCAGAGGCCTTGCACAACAACAAGGCCCAAGACCTAAGTTGAGATTGGTGCTCGGGGGCGTGTGGTGTGTAAGCAACACAGTCACAGGTGAATGCAAGGACAACAGCTTGTATCATCATAGGACAATATCCCCCAAGGCACCATGTTATCTATGTTCTGCCTCTGGCTGCCCCACTGTTCTCCGATCCCTCAGGAGGAACTGAAAAGGAGGTGGCTCATAGTTGTTATAAAGTGCTTTCCCCCAAAGGTTGCTTCGAACAGTGCTAGCGGGTGTGACCGATTGTTCTCTGTGCCCCCGACGGAAAAAGCACCAAAGTCTATATAGGAAGTGAGGTTTCCCCCGGGCTGCATCGAACAACTCTAGTGGTAGCGCGGCTCCCGGCTCAGTCAAGCCCCGCAGCATGGAGTCTGCGGCGGCGGTGGCTTTCGCCACTCACTTCTGTTTCTTCGCTGTCCCCCCTCTGGTAGTAGACGCCGAGGTCGTCGGAGTTTGCTTCCCCCAACTGCGTTTGCCATTGCTCCGCCCAAGGCAAAGTCGGTGGCAGAGTGTTGTCTGCCTCTGGGCTCCCCCCAGGTGGTGCCACTCCTTCCTGCGTTGGTCTCCCCAGAGCTTGGATGTCCGCCTCCAGGCTGGCGGTGATGTGTGGCGCTGCTTGCGAGGCAGTGATCCCCACAAGCGTAGTCCATGGAGCGTTCCCCTCCCCAGTTGTTGTGGTTCGCCTCCTGCGGTCCAGGCCGAAGGCTTCGTCCTCTGTCTCGGTCCCGGGCATATCGCTTCCCAGGCTGTAGTCAGGGGCTTCTCCCCCTTGTCTTGTCACTGTGTTCTCCCCGTCGAAGTCGTTCTGGGTCGGCAGGGGCTCGGTCTGTACCTCAGTGTTGCCCCCCACCTCGTCGCCGTGGTCGTTCTGCAGAGCGGGTAGTGTCCTTTGGCTGTCCTCCGGGTCCTCCGTCTGGGTCTCGTCATGGACGGCTACGACGCCCCCGAAGATTGCTTGCCGGACGTGTTCCACTGCGTGCAGCATTTGCGCGGCGATTGCTGCCTGTTCCCCCCCCAGCTGGGGGACCAATGCGCTGAAAGCTTGGGCCGCCTCGGCTAGGAGGAGGTAAGCTGTTGCTGTAGTCGACGTTCTCGCCTCTGCTTCTTCCCCCTGGTCTGCCAAAGCGATGGCATCCGAAGGGTGTGCCCGCGGCATTGCATCCCGGCTCCCCCTGGCTGCTTCACTCGCTCTGGCTCGTACTTGTCTGCCTGTGTCGAGGAAGGCGTCCCCCCTGCGTTCGATGAGGTAGGCCGCGGGTGCCGTGTTGCGGCGTAGCTGCTCCCAGATTGCCATCGGAAGGTCCCACCACGGTTCCCCCCTAATGGCCCTGTCTCGGAGCTGTGTGGCCAGCTCACGTGCTTTACGCAGGCAGCGCTCTGCGTGCTGAATGGCGGGTTCCCCCACATCAGCAGGCATCGGTTCCATGAGTTGACTTTGCCCCGCTTCGAGCACTCGGATGGGGAAGGCCATGTCTTGAGCCCGCTCCTCTGCCGTGAGTGAGGCTCCCCCCGAGAAGGAAAACCTGGAAGTGAGGGAGAGCGCTTCGGTGAGCACGTTGGGTTCCGTGAGTGCTCGCTTCCTGCTGGTCTTGCAGGTTTCAGGCAGCGCCCGCGTTGGTGCCAATAGGGACACCTGGCGTGCTAGCACATCGCATATCGTAGTGATGGCTGCCCCCGGGTCCCCCCCCAGCTCTTCTGCGACATCATGAATGAGCTGGATTTGCTGCTGAAGTGCGAGGGCTTCTGTTTCCCCCCTGCGGTTAGCTGCTTGTAGTGCTTGTTGTGCTGCTGTCACGGCGGCTGCTGTGTTGGGTGTGTGACAGTAGCTGTGGCGCTGCATGAGGTCCGTGTGTTCCCCCTGGTGTGGTGTGTGGGGTGGTCCTGGCGGTGGTGCTGGCTGTGGTGTTGGGTCGTTGCGTCGCCCGAGCTGGCGGCCGTCCCGTACATGGTCGACCCACCCCCCACTTTGTGGTCTGGCGCTAAGGCGGAGTGTGCGTCCGTCCCACAGTGGGTCGGTGTTGAGGGGTCGTTGCTGGTCCCCTCCGCTGGGGAGCTGGCTGCCTCTGCTGCTGGGCTGTGCTTGTGTCGGATCTCCCGCTGGCGCCTGGTAGGAGCTGCCGCTGTTGTCTTGCCACTGGGATGGTTGCCAGTCGTCTGTCTGGTGGGCTTCGCTGTAGCTGGCCTGGTGCTGAGTGTAAGGTGGGGCTGTCCCCCACCAGTCTTGCCCCGTCGCCGCTGCTTGTTGGGTGGTGTGTGGTTCCCACTGGTTGGGCTCGGTGCCGCTCGGCTGCTGTTGCTCCCACTGTGCTGCTGCATGATTATGTGTTGGGGCTGGTCCCCACCAGTCTTGGGTTTCAGTCATCGCTTGGCGTTCGTGATGCTCTCTCTGCCATCGCTCGTATGGTGACTCTCTGTTTCGCTGTTGGTGGGCTGCCTCTGCTGCTGTTGCAGCTTTGCTGGTGCTCGACTCCTGGGTGGTGCCTGTGGTTTGCGGTGGTGGTAGTGAGTTGTCGGTGGTCCTGCTTGTGTCGTGGCGCGCTGTCGATGTTCGGCCGGTTGGCCCTTGCCAGCTGCTTGTATCCCAACGGGTGGGGGGCTGTGGTTGTGGCGCTGTGTCGCTGTTGCTCCCGGGTCCGGCTTGCGACTGGGCTGTTGTTGGGGTCGCGGGCTGTTGTTGGTTGCTTGCTCCCCAGTCGGCGTGCGGGGTCTGCTCTTGCGATGCTGGGTCGCTGCTGCTGCCGGGCTTGGCTTGGGGTCCTGATCCCCCTCTGTGTGTGTGTGTGTGTGTGGTGTTGGACATGTGGTGAGGTTGTTCCCCACCATTCTCGGTCTGTCTGTGTTGCTTGTCGAGGTGTATGTGGATTCCACTGGTCGCCTCCACTGTTGCCTGTCTGTGGCTTCCCCCATTCCGTTGCTGCATGATTGTGTGTTGGGTTGGACCCCCACCAGTCTTGGCTTGCACCCGCGGCCTGGCGTTCTTGGTGCTCCCTCTGCCATCGTTCGTATGGGGACTCTCTGCTGCGCTGTTGGTGGGCTGTTTCCCCCGCTGTTGCATACTTGCTGGTCCTCGACTCGCGGTGGGCACTTGCGGTTTGCTGCGTAGGTGTTTGGCTGTCGGTGGTAGAGCTGGTATCGTGGTGCGCTGCTGCGGGCTGGCCCGCGGGTCCTTGCCAGCGGCTTGTTTCCCATTGGGTGGTTGGGCTCTGTTCTTGTGGCTCTTGGTTGCTGCTGCTTGTGGGTTCGGCTTGTGGCTCGGTAATTGGTGGGTCCGCTGATGGCTGCTGTGGGTTGTCCGTTCCCCCATGGGTGTGTGGGATCTGCTCCTGTGGCGCTGGGTCGCTGCTGCTGCCGGGTCTGGCTTGTGTTCCCGGTCCTCCTCCTTGTTGTTGGGCCCTGCGCGCTTCAGCTGCCGTCGCCCCGCGTTGTCGTGCTGACTTGCGGGGGTCCCAGTAGGGGTAGTAGGTCTGGGCCTTCGTGGGCTGCGGTGGGTTCGTGGCAGTGGCTGTGGGCTGAGTGGTCTCCATGGGTGGGTAGGTCCCCCTAGGCAGGTTGTGGCGGTTGAGAAGGGTCAGCGAAGTCTGTGTCCCCGCTGTTGCGCTGCCTTGCTTGCCTGGCTGCTGTGGGTTGTGGGTCCCCCGAGCTGGCTGCTTCCGGGTGGTGCGTCGGCTCAGCTGGGATTGGGGCTGGCCCCCCCCATCTGGTGTGCATGAGGTTGTGCCTGCGGAGGAAAAGCTTGATTGCATACTTGACTCGTTTGTTTCGAGTCCTGTCTGCTCCCCCTCCTTCGTGCTTTCTGGACGCCGAACCTGTACGGGACGCTCGTCTCCTCGGGCTCGTTGTCGCAGTCCCCCACCCATCGCCGTCAGCACGGTCCCCCTCCGCTGCTGCTGCTGCTGGTGTTGCCTCCCCCTATTTGTTGTCAGCTTCCACCCCCGGTGCCAATTCTCTGTCCACATATGATTGAGCGATTTCTCCGGTAGTGACCCACAAGTAATGTTCTCTCATCGTCATGCCCGGAATGGCCTGGGTTCCTGGAGGAACCCGTGTGGCTGCTTGTCCCCCCCCTTGGTTGCTTGGTGCTGCTGTGGGGTCGTGGTGCTGTTCCTCTGCTTGGCCGCCCCCTGCGTCCCCCCCTCTGCCTGTGCTGTCGGAGCTTGGGTCGGCTGGCTGCTGGGGTGGTTGGCTTGCCGGTTGTGGTTCGCCTGTGGGTGGCTGTGTTTCCCATGGTGGGGGGATCCAGTCTGAGGGGGCCGTAGTGTCCTGCCGGACGGCCCATTCCCCCTGGGTAGGTGGTCGCGTTGGGGGTCCGGTCGTGTCGTGGTTAGGCGGAGTCTGAGCTGGGGGTCTGACTGGGCTGGTGCTCTTTCCGCTGTTGTGGATGTCCCCGCTGTCGCTGGTTGTGCTGGTTGTGGCTTCCGGCTTCTGGGTCGTCCCGCTGGGGCCTGTCCCCCCGCTGCCGCTTGTTGGCTTTCTGTGCCCCCTGTGCCTGGCTGGCGCTGGGGGCTTTGTCCCGTCGGAGCTGCTCCCCCGGCTGATGCTTGTGCCGCTTGGCCTGGTGTTGCCCCCACACCCGCTTGCTGGTGGGCGGTTTGTTGGGCGGGATCTGGTATCGGTGGTCCCCTCCAGTGGGAGGAACCGGGAACTGCGGGTGATGGTAGCACGAGGTTTCCCTGCCCGTCGTAGTAAGGGAACCCGAAGCGGAAAGCAAGGTCCGCCGCTGTCAGCTGAGCTGGGCTTGGTATGGGTCGTCTTCATCCTCGTGCCAAGGGTCCGTCTCCGGGTTGTAAGGTGCTGCATAGTATCCCCCGCGCTCCATGTAGCGTCTTGAAGTCGGCTTATCCCCATCAGCATGGGATTGTGCTGCTGCTTGGTGAGAGCTGGCTGCCGTGCTTGCGGCGGTGTACGCCTGGGCCTGTGCTTGACTTCCCCCGGTGGGTGGTGGCGGTTGTCTTGTTGGAGCTTGTCGGCCTGCTTGGTGGCGTGGGGCTGTCGGTGGTTGTTGGGCTCCTCCGATTGCTGCTTGGTGGTAGTGTGGTGGGAGGCTGGCGGCTTGGTTGCCCCCTGGTGGGGGGTGGGCTGCTGTCGCTGTCCCCGCGGTGGCTCCTGGTGGCTGCTGTTGGTAGGCTTGCTGATGTGATGTAGCGCCCCCGCTTTCTGCCATTGGGGTGGAGTCCTGGCTCGCAGTTTGTATCGGCCCCGCTTGTGGTGCCGCGTCTGTGGTGGCCCCCGCTTGGGGTGGAGGGGGGTGTCCAATGCTGCCACCACTCCCCCCAACTCTGCCGCGGTCCTGGCTGTTCTGCGTTGCGGGCAGGGCTCCCCCTGCAGAGCTGCTCGCTTGGCTTTGTCGGGGTGGGAGCGGTCCTGCCCCCGCGCTGGGCAGGTGGTCGCCTCTGCTAAGGCGCGTCCCCCTCGGCGTGGAACTCCTTGGAGTGGAGCTCCCCACGTTATCTGTTGGCCCCGGGCCCGGTTGGCCTCGTGCTGTCGGGAAAACCGTCACGGAGATTCCCAGCAGTGCCAAGGTCACACACGTCCAAAAGCAAGTGTTCCCCCCCATGGTGCGTAAGGAGGCTGAGGTGCGGGCGCTCGCGCTTGGTCCAGCTGCTGCAGCAAACGGCTGAGTCTGGGCCCCCCGTCTTGGGGTTGCGCTGTCAGGTGACGTCACGATTGCAAACACTGGCACTGAAGCTGCAACTGAAGTCTGCTCTGGAAATGTGCAAGCAAAAGACTGACTGTCATGCACGTGTGTTCCCCTCTTCTCTCCCTCGAAAATCCCTCTGCTGTTGTATGATGCAGTGTGCTCTGTGTCTGTGTCTGTGTTCCGTGGTCCAGCTTGCCTTGGGAACGGGCGAGGAGCTGTCACAGCGATGTTCATTCGCCCCTCACTGCCCTCGGGCGGGTGCTGGTAGTGCTCGTGTTTGGGTGCAGATTGTCTTGAATGCTCCCCTGACGGACAGTCGCCCACGGCACGTCGAAGCGTTCAACGAATTGTTGTTGTAGGGCTTGCCAGACCTGGCGCTGCTGTGCTACTTCCCCCCAGGAAGTGCCCGCAATGGATTCAATTGCCCTCTCGATGTCCCCTCCCGGGTTGAAGCGTCCTGCGTGCCGGACGCGGATGCTCGCGGGCTTTTGTTGCTCAGCTCGCCAGAATCGCAGGTCCTTCCAGCTGATCATGTCGGTGACTGTGTCCCCCCCCCTCGCCATATGCCCCCAGAGCGACCAAATGCGCTGCAGGATGAATGTAGACCAACGTTGCATCCCCTCTCTATGCATGCGGGCTCTGGCTATACGAAGCGAGCGCACATGCCATTCCCCCCACGACTCTGTGGCTTGTCTGTTCAGGTGCATCATCTGCCTGTAGTGTGTTGCTTGTATGCTGTTGGCTGCTCGGAGGAGGTGCTGGTGTGCCGGCCACGTTTCCGATGCGTATAAAGCCGCCCCCCTGACCAGGCTCATGTGCGCGATGATGCGTGGCTTGAGGCTCGCGCGTGCTGTGAGCACTTTTTTGTGCTTGGCAAAGGCCGCCCTCCCCCTTCGTGCCATCTCCGCGACGATGGCCGCTGTCTGGTCGCCAAAGGTGAGGGGCGTACCAAGGGCTGGTACAATGGTTTGGACGGGTTGGCTTGCGACCGTCTCCCCCCTGATGGTGAAGGTCTCTCCTGTGGGTTGGCTGCACAGGACCGCTGTCTTATCTGGGTGGATGTGAAGCCCATCCTGCGCCAATTCCCCTTCCAAGTGTCCCAAAGGAACGATCCCCCCGCTTTGGGGGGTGGGGCCCCCCTTGTGGATCTGGAGGCTGCATTGGTGCTTTCTGAAGGGCTGCATGGAGGTCTTTGGCGATGATCGCCCCAAACAAATCAGGCGAATCTGGGGATCCCTGTCGAATGCCGTTCGATTGGGCCACGGGCGTGATAACATCCCCCACCGCCACGTTGAGAGACCTAGTCTCGAGCAGGCTCAGCCAGAGGAGTGCCTCCCATGGTTGGTCCCCCCCTTGTGGTTGGGCGTCCACTGGGAATCGCGGGGAGGCGATCCCCCCAACCCTCGCCGCAACGAGTTCGCTGAGGCTGTGTTGCCATACGCTGTCGAAGGCTTTTCTGATATCCAGCTTCACAATCCAGGTCTTCACCCCCCAATCTCGTGACATTTGCACGATGCGGCGTAGTATGGCCACCAGTTCCACGCCCTGCCTCCCCCTTCGTGCCCATTGCAGGCCTTCCCCCCCATGGCGCACTTTCTCCCCCGCCCGGTGTAGCAAAAGCTGGGCTGCCCATTTCAGGAAAGTGGAACTCAGTGTGATGGGCCTGGTGTCCCCCCATGCAAGTGGCCGAGGGATCTTTGGGAGCAGCACTGTGATTCCTTGCTCGATCCCCTGGGGGACCGCCCCCCGGTACAGCATGTCACTGAGCATTTCCCTGATTCTTTCCCCCCACTCAGGGTCCAGCAGTAGAAGTTGCGCCGCCTCGTGGGACACCCCATCAGGTCCGGTGCTGCGGTTGTGTGCCCATTTGCTGGATGTGAGGTGCAGCTCCCCCAGGGTGAATGGGGTCCAAGGTGTGTGTTTGCATTTGGTTCGGAGGGCGTGGCGGAGTTCCCCCCTTCTTGCTTGGGCTGCTCTGGGAATGGGCTTCGCAAAGATCCCCTTCATATGTTGCTGCAGGTTGGCTTGCCAGTTGGGGTCGTCAGTAAGTTGTAGCTGCCACCCCCTATGTGTGCTCGGCTGCTGCATGCTTCGGAGCGCGCGCCAGTCCAGGTGTGCTGCACGCTCTGCTTGTGATTGTTTCCACTGGTGGAACTCTTGCTTGCGTAGTCTGCTGACGGCCTTCCACGCACGACGTGCTGGGTCCCTCGGTGGTGCCTGTTGGGCTAACTTGCGGTGTCGGGTGAGTGTGCCACTCTCGCGGAAAGTGTCGGCTCTCCCCCCTGGTACTGTGACTGCTTTTGCCAAGGAGCAGAGGGTGAGGTGTGGGTCCTCGCCTTTGGGTGGGGGGATTCTGAGCAGCATGTCAGTCTGGTGGGGTGGTCGGAGTTTGCGTGGCCCCCATGTGCTCCTGCTCGCGCCACCCCCTCTGTGGAAACCGAGTGGTATCGCTACTCCGTCGTGGTCCGATGATGCTCTGTCTTTGCATGCCACCACCCTGCCTGGGCCAGGTGTCCCCCCTTTGGTTGCCACATAGTCGAGGCGCCTTGGCCTCATTGTTGGGTTGTATGGGTGGTACGTGGGTGTGGGGAGGTCCTGCGGTGGGAGTTTGGTGTCTTGGGAAAGCAGCCACTCCAGTATCGCTTCCCCTCGTCCGGTGCATGCGTAACACCCAGGCCTGTCGGCTAGGGACTAGGGGCGCCCGAAAAGTCTCGTTGGCGTCCATACCAAGCACCACAACTCTTCCTTGTAGTGCTTCCCCCCACTTGTGTAGAATGGTTTCTGTTTGTGGGATTGTTGCGTGGTGTGGGATATGGCCGGAGAGCACTCGTATGTGGGTGTGTTGGGTGACAATCGTGGTTGCAACCCCGGCTGGCATGATTGCTGTACGCTGGTGCTTGTATACTGCACGGTGTGCCACCCCTTCCCCTCGAAACTCCCCCTGACACTTGCCGAACACAAGTTGCCACTGCTGCGACTCTGCATGGAAACTGCCTGCTTCAGTGATGATTTCTTGGATCATGACGAATTCGATGTGCTGCAGTTCGGAACTCCCCCGGAAATGCTCGAGAACCTCCAGCACTCTGTCTGCCGATAGGCCCCCGACATTCCAAGTGAGCGTCTCAAAGGTGTGCTGCAAGTTTTCCCCCTTCGGGGGGGCAATGTGAAACTGCTCTGTGGTGCCCGCCTCGTCTCAGTTGATCTCCGCCTTGAGCGGAGTCCACTCCTTAGCAACGGCGTCCTTGGTGCACCGGAGTGCCTGCGCGATCGCCCCCAGATCGACCCATCCAGGACCTGCTTCTTCTCCCCCCGGTGGCCTGCTTGCAGTAGCTGAGCACACCTTCACGGATTGCTCCCCCCTCGTGAGCCATGCCGATCCGCTGCTGTACTCCATCTCGAGGTTGTTCTTGTCCCCCCCCATGGTGAGGTACAAGCGCTTGACTTTTGCAGCGAGGCGTGATCTGCGCCGCTTTTCAGGCGGCTGCGAAATGGCTATCCACGCCTTTCTAGTCCCCCCGTCTTGTCTGGTGCCAAGGTGAACGTTCGCGGCCCTGACGCGGGAGATGACATCTTGTACTCTGGCTCGACGAGCTTCTGGGCTTTCCCCGGGAAGTTCGTTAATCGGAAGGATTGCGTATCCCCGGCGAATGCCGGGAACAAACATTCCCCCCAGATCGATGGGGGCCTCAACGGAACGAAGAACTCTCTCTCTCTCTCTCCCTCCCTCTCTCTACGGGGCAGTCGGAAGCAGAGCGAACCCTACCCCCTCACGCCCACCTGCGGGTCTTGGCGGGCTTTTGACTGTCCACTGAGGAGGTTTCCCCCCCGTGGCTCGGCTTTTATTGCACGGGCTTCGGAAGTCCTCCTGCGGAAAGACTCTCTCTCTCTCTCTGTTTCTCTCTCTCTCTCTCTCTCTTCTTCATGGCCTTTAGAGGCCCCCCAGTGTTTGGGGTTTTCTTTGAGGGGGTGTGAAAGAACGGTTGTGTTGTGGTCCCTCGATCCTAGACTGTCTTAATGCCATATGTAGGTAAGAGCCCCGAATGACACTCTCTCTCTCTCTCTCTCTCTCTCTCTCTCTCTCTCCGGCCGCACACCGGCTGGTGGGTCCCGAGAAGTTCCCGCGCCAGAATCGACACCCTCTTCGGCATCCTCCTCCGGACGCTCCCCGGCCCTTCTTGGGCCTCTTTCCTTTCTTCATCTTCTTTCCCTTCCTCGGGCTGCTTCTTGAGATCGCGGCCTTCGTCCCCGTCCGCCCTCGAGCATGCCGATAAAGCCCACAACGGCCTCGAGCATGCCGATAAAGCCCACAACAGCCTCCTCTTCGGCCTCCTGCTCTGGCTCGTCGACGCCTTCTTCGGCGTCCTCCTGCTCAAGCGTGGCCTTTGCCGGCCCCTACCTCCTTGAGCCGCACCTCTTCCACCTTTGCCTTTTTCTGGGGTATTCCTTTCCTTTGTTCTGCCAGCAATCCTTCAGCAGATGGCCGGCACCAGAGTCGTCTGCAGCTCGCCTGTTCTCAGCGAACGTAACGATCTCTCGCCGGAGAAGCTGGGACGTACTGAGCCGGGGCAGGTTCAGTTCCAGATGATTCTGCAGCTCGTTCGGGACAAGCCCCAAGAGCGAGACCATTTTCTGCCTCTCAGTCAAAGCCGTGCAGTCGCGACGAGCAGCATACCTGCGATGCTGGTCCTCGCAGCGTTCGATAGCTGGGATCAAGTTTTTTTGTTTACCATCGGGGACCGCCTTCGTAGACACCAAGGCCCATAGCCACCTGAAGGAAGTCACCATATCCGTTGCGTGCAAGCGGCTCTGCAATCTTGAAGCCTGCGATACATATCCACCCCAGAGCCAGGGCTGGAATTCATAGTGATATCCCCTGGAGTATCCACCGTCATGGTTCCAAGTTTCCAACTGGCGATTAAACTCCTGTACTTTCTCGGGAGTAACCCCAGTTACCATCTGCGCCCGCAGCGCAGCGGCCGTGATCTCATCGTCCTGGGTCCGAGCCCAGGTCAGTATATCCCTCGTCTCAGGGAACTGGCTCGTGAGCCAAAGCTCCAGCCTGTAATTCCATTGCTGCCATGAGCGCGATGTGTCCTCAAGCATACCTCCCAATTTCTCGGGCCGGCCTGTTGCCTTCGTATCCACCACGGTCCCCCGTGGCCTTTGACCTTGCTCCAGCAACCTCTGAAGCTGTCCCAGCAGCAATCTCATCAAAAGCTGCTCACCAACAGGTTTCGAGGGAAGTCCTGGAGTGACAACCCCAAGTTGTGGAACACTCGTTGGTACTTCCGTACCTTTGGCAATCTGGCCAATTCCTCTGGGCACGCTCAGGGTCCCGGATCAAAGTCCTCCTCCCCACCGCTGGTGGTCGTGCCCGTTATGGCACACTGGGTACGCAAGAAAGGGACAAGCTCCATACACCAGGAGCTCCGCTACCATGAATAGCATCTGCGCACTTGCGCCAAAATGTAACCGCTTTGTGAAACGTATGTACACTGACCCATCCCCAAAACCATTAAAAATAGAAACGCAGGGCCCGCAGCCTCCTCTTACATTAGCAGCAGCAGCAGCAGCAGCAGCAGCAGTAGCAGCAGTAGCAGTAGCAGTAGCAGTAGCCAGTAGTGGGAGGAGGAGTAGTAGTAGTAGTAGTAGCAGTAGTAGCAGCAGCAGCAGCAGCAGCAGGAGTAGTCGTCGTCGTCGTCATCGTAGTGGTAGTAGTAGTAGTAGTAGTAGTAGTAGTAGTGGTGGTGATAATCGTAATCGTAGTGAACAATAGTAGTCAGAACCATGGCCACAGAAATATCGTGCGCATGCGCGCGGTGTGTGTGTGTGTGTCTCTGTGTCTGTGTCCGTGTCTGGTAACTCTTCGTACGAATAATAACAATGGCAGAAATACTAATGACCGTCGCAATAACAATGACAAAAGCTACACTTGTACTGATCGCAACAATAGGAATAACTTCAGGAATACTACTTGTAGCAATACTGGGAATGACAGCTTTAACGGCCGTAATCATAACACCAAAAGTAGCCTTAGTGACAGTCACTAACAACCGCACGAATAGTAATAACCGTAATAATGCTAGTTGTGCTACGACTAGTGTAGATCCAGACTCGTTTACAAATCCGCATTCCACCGCAAAAAAGCTTCTGATCTTCTGGCTAAGTGGAGTTTGCCTCTAACATGCACTGGACTCAAAAGTTTGCATAAAGCCAAGCAGTGATCTCAATGCACAAGTTACCGCGTCCTGACATGTCCAAGCTTGGAACAGAGAAAGCTGGGGATTGCGAACTTCAACTGCCACGCCTCGCAAGGTAAGTGCCATGCGAACGCGCTGGTAGAGAGCCTTTGCCAACGAAAGCGGGCAAGACGGCTTCATGAAAAAGTTTGAGTATGAGCTTGCACAACATCTTTCTTGCGGCATGAAATCTGCGAAAGCCAGCGGGGTCCCAGCATGGTCCCCTGACCTAGGCCAGCTGTGCACATGTTGCACTTGGCAGCTCACAAGGCTCAGAGATACGAGGCTCAGACACAGTGGCGCCACGCAGCACACAAGCTTCTGCCTCCTGGCACTGGATGCCCTGGCCTCAGCGTCTGCGTCTCCGAATGTCGCACGTCCCCTACCTGCACAGCTCCTCGCCTTCCAAACTGTCCAAGAAGGCACTGGCGCTGGGCCTGCATTGCACAGTTGGCCCGATCACGATCATTTTTCGTCGCGAGGAGGTGGACGAGAAAAAGAAGAAACAAGGGAACATCGGCAGCTCGGTTGATTATGGTCGGGTAGTTCGGCAGCTGCGGTAGTACACGACTGTGCTGACCGGAGCAATGTCGCACTTGCATCTGCATAAACACAAGGTTGTCTGCATGATCTGACGTCTGAATAACTGACGCATGAGTTCGCAGTGGATCGAACATATGAACAGGGATTCGATATGACAGATGTGCTGAGGGCCTACCAGACACGGGATCTGATAGCTGACGTGATCTGCCATCTGAACTACCACATGTGCTGCACTGGACATGGACCTGAATTATGACGTTCTGCATAATCTTGTACACCACATGAGTAGACGATGTAAGATGCACTAGGAGTGTGCACTTCCGAGATCACCAATGTAGACTTGGCACCAGGGTCCAGAGTCTACCAGAACCTGCAAAGAAGGGTGCCCGATGCTGGGGTACTGCGAGCTCAGAAATGCAGGGTACCCCAGGCTGGAAGCTAGGAGTAGCATGTCTTGTCCAGTAGCAATAGCCCCGTGCCAAACACTGGAGCCTGCCGGGCTGCAAGCTGCAGTCCTGCCAGGCAGGGAGCAATCCCAGAACAGCCACCTTTGCGAATTTACGTGAAATGCAACCCGGATAAGATCTTCGTCACGAGATCCCCCCAAAGCTGCATCTCAACAAATTGCTTCGGGCAAGCCGCCCGAACACATTACAACTCCTCCGCTGTCCTGTCAACCGTCAATGCTGTGGCAGCTAGATTCCAAGCGTGAGTCAGGAGTTGCACTGATTTACAACGAGGACGATTTATTAGTCTCCAATCTGCTCGGAGACCACTGCGTCACAGGCACGATCCCGAACAGTGAGCTTAGATGCAAGAAGAAGATGCATCCGTGCAAACGACACTCCTCTTCGACAGCGGCGGCAATTTGTGCTAGCATCTGCTCCTGTCAGGCCACATTGCACAGAAACGATGCTACTCAATGCAATGTAGACGTCACGACCTTCGTCGCAGTGGATAGTCCAGGCTGCGCTAGTACCTTGCTGCCATGCAGTGGCACAAATCATGCCTGCTGCGGTGTGTGTATGTATGTATGTATGTATATATATATATATATTCATATAAGTAGTAGTAGTAGTAGTAGT